ATGTTTTATGAATAAACACGATGTTTTGGAAATATTTATCAAAAGAAATTTATACTATGTTGCGAATTACAATTTCGAGATAACCTTCTTTTATTTACGAACTTATGTCTTTGATGCTGAAATTGACAACTTTATAAAAATACATTTTCACTGAAATTATGAAATCTGGGTGTCGGAAAGGTGTAAAATTATACTTCGGAAAAGAAAAAAACAGTAGTTGAGCTAGATAAGAAATTATACGGGGGCAGGCTCCTATGGAGAATTAACATTACTGGAAACAGGCCCTTTGAATCATAAAAAAGTAATTTTAATAACAAATTGTGTTACAAGCTTTGTCTCAGCAACACTTTTGTATAAATAAGATCATATAGGAAAGCACCATTGACTTAATTTGAACGTCGACTACATACCAGGAAACGTTCGCTCAAACATTAGATGATATTTATATTAGTCGAGTGTAAATTTCGTCCTTCACATGTTATTACCATAACGGGTACGCTGTGTTCTTACATAAGCTGTCTTGGTAAATGCGTTCTCAAATCCGGAGGGCGAAAACGGCAGAAGTTAAACTATGGCGAAAAGTTTCCGGTAGACAGTGTCTTATATTAATATTGGGATATGATACAAACGATACTAGATATGTATATGGGCATGGAGACTTCATGATACAGTTATCAGAACGAGAAAATCCGGCTAGTAGGTAAATACAACATTCCGTATTGTACATGTGCAATACAGAACATTGTATTTCATGGTCTGAAAATTGCTTGTATTACTATAACAAGATTCAATAGGTATGTAATAAATGCAGTTATATACTTACCCTCAATGTCATAGGGGCGTGTATTAAGTATAGATCAACATAAGACAGCTTGAGTTTTCGCAGGCTCTCGGACATAGAACGTGCAACATCCGAAGGTCTGGTGTAGATATTGGCGAGCTTTGAAAAAGGGAGATAAACAAGATCATGGCTATAATTACCAACAGAAATGATTTTTTTTATTAAATGCATTGAATTCAAAAGAAATTTATATAAATGGTTACATTCGAAAATATTATTATACAAAAATAGTTTCAAAATATGAATAGTACTAAACAATTCGAAAATAGCTATGTACATTGTATATATAGAATATTTGATAGGTTTTCTGAGTTTGCGTTGAAAAAGAGGATATGAAATTGCGAAATTGTTTCAGATATCTTGATATTTTATATGTGAATGTGCTTATGTAATAGGTGTTGAATTTACTTGACAAATATTAAAGTACCAATTTCTGTAATCATACATATTCATTTGATCTTCGAATAACTCCTCAATCAGCACGCTATTGTTCTACATTCGCAGGCAAATATGTATCCAGCTAGACACGTGGTAACTGGAATCCTGATTAGTATTTCAAAGTATGAAGCTACGAGAGTTTCATGAAGGGTCAAACGTATCGAGATGCTCCTACTTTATCAACTGGAATGTGAATTTCAAATTAGTGACAGCTTCTTTGGAAAACCACGATACAAATATGGTCAAAATTGAATTCATTTTCCCCTGAAGTCCAAATAACATTCAACGGTATTTCTAATAACGTCTGCAAACACTTTTCACGCTTTCAGAAAGAACAGGCTTACTTGATAACCAAGGGAATGTATGCAAGACAACGTGTTAACTTATCATGCTTCTGTATTACTATCTCTTCGAATACTGGTTAATGTTTAGCATACGGACCTGCCTCGTTTGTATTGGATTCCGAAATGTTACAAAGACTAAAAGGAATATAGAGCTTGGAGAACAATCTTTTTTTATCACGCCCTCAAACGCGTTTCTTCCATCAGAACATTTGGTTGTGTACTCTAAACACTGCCAAACGTCATACTAAACTAAAGGAACATCGTATTGTCAACGGTTAATACATATATAAATATGTTTGTAAACTTAAACTATTTTAAAACATATTTGGTTAAAACACAACAACGGCAAGCAAACGTGAGGATTAAAACAATGACAGTGAGAGTGCCTTGTTGACAGCATATTTTCTTGATTTGGTGGATTTTACAGCAGACTGTTGGCATCCAAATGATAAATAACAGTACCCCTCGCCTTGCTGACTTGGTTTTGTTTTCTTATTAGGTACATATAAATGTATTGACGAGCTTTCCAGGACAGACATATCTGAACAAACCTTTCCAATATCTTAAAACTTCACGTCCGATGTACCGATGACTTTTGTCATTGATAACAGGAAGTTTTATCAATCACATCGATCGTACATACCCTTCCCTGGAACTTTAAAATAAGGATACTACATATTTTTCTTTCATCAGCTGCTTACCTCGATCATAACTAACATAACCAATAAGGACGACCTACCACTAACCTGTTCAGAAAGCGTCACGACGTCGATCTTTCGATCGTGAAATTTGCTTGTCTACCTACGGTGTTTACATGTCGCAGTTGAGTTGATATTCAACTGCCCTTTCCCGAATTTTCTTGATAGACGGACAAACCGTTCACATAGGAGCTTGAGGGATGTATGTTGATGAAGACTATGGCCACTATCACAATTTCATTGACAAAATATTCTACTAACTTGTGAAATTTAAAGTTCCGAAATAGTTTGTATAATTGTTCATGTAAATATTTCTGTTCTTATATTTGTTCTAGTTGCTTTTAAAATTTAATTCGGACACAAACAGTAATATTTTACCTTTGAATATCTTGAATATTACAATTTACCATCATTGACAATTTTTCCGCGTCTTCACTTTGTCAGAGAAATTCGCTATTCATAAGATTCCAAGCTCACCGGTTCGTTACCTTTGTACAGATGAACAATTCTTCCCTCTTCAATTTTCCAACTTTGAATGTTTCATCTAGGACTTCGCCTATTGCCTCCTCGTTGAGGTAGTTGTAGGCTGTATCAATGAGGCGGTATCCAGCATCAAGAGCAGTCCGGACGGCCGTCTTCACTTCGTCGGGTTTACTCTGAAGATGTATTAATTGGTATTCTTTGTAAAGTGATGTTCAACAAATGTGTTCGTTATTAAGCACACATATTTCTAACAGCAGAGTGGACCAAAATGTTCTAATGTTCCAGTTGTAGAAAAGACAAAAAAGGAATCCAGGAGAGAACCACAAAACAATCTGCATACTACTAGCAGGAAAAGTCTCAGAAATTAAACTCCCAATTTCATCTTACCTACAATATAGTGGCGATATTTTTAGGTAAGAAAAGTATATATGAGTACGGAGGGAAGTACTTTCATTAAATTTTGAGGAGATGTCACAAATCAACTTAGCAGGATAAAGTTAATGTTATGAAACTATACCCACAGCCTAGTTTTAATCATTCGAAAACAATCACAATTGTACTCGGTTGGGATTAACACATGGAAAATAGATCAGAACTTGAGACACTAAC